AACATTCGCCCCAATCACCCAGAAGCAACAATTGGACCAGAAGGTCCATGGTGGGATGCCACAGGGTCAGCGCCTTAGCCGCTTTCTCCACGCGCTTCACTGAGCGGCGGCTGCATTAGGTCTTGGACTTTGTTCCGATTTCTGTTCTTAGCTGTTCTTAGCTTTTCATCTTGATTCATCTTTTGCTGATTCTAGCGAGTGCTCCAGACAACAATGGAGCCAGTTACTACGCAAAAGCAGTGTTCACCTTCATCTTCCGCGAAAAAAGTCTGCGCAGACATCAACATGAAAGATCGAAGATGTTCAACTGATCTTTGTTTCATGTTTTAAATGCTGATGCCAGTCGATGATCTTTTCAGTGATACGTATTTCCAATCATTCCTTACTTTGCAAATTTGTCTTACAATTGCTTCAGTTGTCAATTTCCTTTTTCCAGTTGACAGACTTACATGACCGTTGCAGACACCAACGCATTGCCCACGTCATTCACCACAGCGGCTCAATTTCCAACGAAACCGTGACATCATTTTGAGTCTCCACCATGGGCGCACATCAACAGTGGTGGCAGAACTATTATTCTACCGCAGCTCCCAGCGCGGGATATGGACCGCTCACCAACGGAGTCCGCCATCACTACAGCTACCCTTACCACACTCACACAGCATCCACACCTGACAACCGCCACTCCCCACTACATTTCCACCTGAACCATTCCCCACCCACAGCACACACCAATGCCACATCTCACTTGTCCGTGTTACCCCCAACGCACCCACCATTCCCAACACCTGGACACAGAGTGACACTCACTTGGATACAAACACAGTCCATGGCCAGACGCGATTTCGTAGAACACAGCCTACACAATGGTCCAGGAAATACAATCTTGCAGGACAACCGGTACTTGACATTTTTCGCTGGCAGCTCAGTCGCCTCGGACTTCATGATCAGGGCCCCCGGACCTTGTCTCAAGGTCGTTATACTGGTTGCCACACGCTCCATAGCAGAAGCTGTCTTTACATTTCAATTGCTAACCGACATCCGCACTCACAATTTGGACGTGGATTCCGTTGCAGAGTACTTCCATCAACAAGCCGGCCAACCCATCCCAAACAAGACGACAGACGCCAAGCAATTCATGAATCCACTCATTTCCCAGACTTTCTTCGAGGCCGCGCTCCTCCAGCAGGCGAAGGAACAGCGCTACGAAAACTTCAGCAGCAGACCGACAGATTTCATCAACAAGAGAGCGAACTGCAGCGAGCCAGAGACAAGCTCCGGACCCATGGCATCGCTCTTACACCCACAAAACCCGGCAGCACAGCGCCACCGGCACCACCAGCTCTTCCTCTTTCAGCACCATCCACTTCCACACCCACATCTCACACCATTCTCAACCCCACCTCCCAAACACTCCATGAGAACTCTCCTCCGAGCGAACGCATCACAAAAGAGCAACTCCACGAAGCCGCCACCAAATACGGACTCCCACCCACACGAGTCCTCAAACTCCCTCCCAAATCACTTCAGCAGCTAGCTAGTGGCCGCCGGCTCCGCTCTTGCCGCTTGACTCGCCCAACAAGCGCAACACCAACCCAACCACACTCTCCCCCAACACCTCAGCACACTTCACACTGCGCTATCACACTTTGTCCATTTCACACCGTACATTGACAAATCCCACGCCAATTTTGCTACCAGTCTCATTCACATCACATGCCTTTTCGCATTCCCTTCGCCCGCCCACAATTCTGCCAAGTGACGTTCACGCCTGACCCAACTACAGGTCACACCCCACACATACCATTTTCACAACTTCTCCCAACCCAACGCAGTTTATGCCAAACTGCTTTTTTCAATCAACACCACTCCCATCACCAACGCCACCAATACCACCAACACGGTCACACATACATTGGTTCCACCAGCATTGGCATTCCAAAACGTGAATACAACTGTCATGCCAAACTAAAACAACTTCACAACAACCACCCTATTTCTGCCGAGCTCTCGCTATGATATTGGCATTCTCAAAACACCCTTCACCGCTACAGCGCCATTTACCTTTTGCACCACGACACCTACGATCAAGCATGGACCTATGAACGCCTACGCATACAAAATTGGCAGCCAACTTTGAATTGGCCTTACATTCAACGACATTTACACCTGAAAGCATCCGGCTGGCAATTCGCCAAACACCGCACCCAGTTCACACGCATGGCTACTCACAAATGCCTATTCCAACGACTTCGACGTCGTCAACGTACCATCAAACAACCCAATTTACACACTAGCCAGCGTTTACACGCTCTCACAGTTCGCGGCAAATACAGTCACCTTGAGATCTATGCCTTTCGCCGCATGGCTGCCAGTCTGGAAGAACCAGACAGATCCAGAGTACTGCACCTTTCACAATACCATTTCTCGCACACTCCACCTTTTTGAAAGACACCGAACAATGGCTACGCAGCCTTGTCAAACACCATTTCCACCACGTCATCCCTTTCCACCCACCTACCACCAAACTCCGAGAAGCCGCTCACAAGACTCTTAGATCCCGACTCTACAACCACAAACAATGGGAAGATCACTTCTCAGCTTAACCTTCCGCCAAAGACATGCCTTGCAATTGCTCACACATGCACACTCTCCTCAAAGATCCAATCCATACCACAATGTACGACGGCCATTACGTCCTCACACTCAACGACTTACACCTGCCATCATATATTCAACTCTTTCTACAAGCCAACACGAACAGCGCCTTCTTCCCTACAAAAACCTAATATTTTCAACGCTTCCACACCACCCTTTCCCACTGGTTTCGCCATCACGGCTTGCCCAAGGCTTTACACCATCGCAGCCAAGCCTTCCTTCAACATCAATGGAAACAACGCATCAACAGCCTACACCACACACCCCGCTTCACTTCTCGCAACGTCACTCAACTTCAACAGTTCCTTACAGACAAGCTGGTCCTCCACCACGCGGACCACGAGCTACAAAATCTGCGCATCTATTGCCCGCAGCACTACTTCCACGGCTGCCTCACCACCTGGAATACACCACAACTATTTCGACCGCTACCCCATTTGACACAAGATCAACTCCATACACTCCCGGCTCAGTCATACTCCGCCAATCTTCGCCGTGCTTATCCTTGGGGATTTCGCAAGCATTTCTAGACGCCCCACGGCGTAGTGTTCCTCAAACAGAAGAAATCCTGGCGCAAGGGCCGTACGGTGATCAGCTATTTCCGCTCTATCGCAGGCACCCCACTCAGAGCAACGTCCAAAGCCTTGGACATTAAGCTTACGCTTCTCCAACTACTACCTCAACACCCCGGCCAGCTCTCCATACCCAACTTGTGGAAACAACTCCACCTTCACTTCACACACACACACACCAGAAGACATCCATCTGACAGCCATCAATGACGACTTAGTCGGCTTCTTCAACAGCGTTCCACAACAACGACTCGTCGATGCAGTCATCAGTTTATGCAACCGCTGGCATTTACAACACACCACCACTACACCCACCATTGAATTCAATCCACCGGCAACCCTATTCAACACTCGCACATAGGTCGACATTACATCCACCACCCACAACAACGCACTCTGGACACCAAGCACATTCCACTCATAGTACACCAAGCACTCCAATCTTGCATTTTTCAAGAATGCCACACATACTACCAACAAATTCGAGGAGCAGGCGTTGGCAGCCAACTATCCCCAGCACTCTGCAATGTTGCCATCACACTCATTGAGCACTCCTGGCATCAAACATACAGCACTTTCTTACAACAACCCAGCATTCACCTTTTCAACACACGATACGTAGACAACCGGTACACCCTCATCAGCGAACAATTCCGACAACCACTTCCCATCGCCACATTTGCCCATCCAGAATTTTATGGACACCCAGTTGAAATCGAGACTGTAGAAGACAACCATCTCTGAGGCTTCCACATTAACCCATCGACAAGAACCGTCATTTTCCAACTTCCTTCTCACCCCTGGCAGATTCGCGACATACACTCTGCCAGAAGCCACCGACTACGCCTATCAGGCCTCCAATCCAGACATCACACATTACAACAATACTCATACCCCTCACACATGGGGCAAGTACTTTAGAAGCGTTGATACAGTTATACGTGACAAAAGGTCACCCCAAGGAACATTGCGCTGCAGCGTTGCGGCCCTCGGAAAAAAAAAGAGCGCTTGCACTGACGGTTGCTACCTGCGCCGATTCGGCTCGTTGTGTGTGTCAAACCCCGTTCCAAGACTCTAACCTACCTTACTCTATTTTTGCTCTACTTTGCTCTATCTGTACAGCTGCAGGGGGCACGTCGGCCGTTCACCTAGCCGTGCTAACAAAGCTATGGTGTTCGGTTGGATGAGATACTGGACGCAGTATCTTCTACCTGCAAATTTTTAACGTTCATTGGTGTTTCTACGTAAATTCAACGCTGTCTGATACTGATCCTTTTTTTTCGCTGTAAAGAGCTAACGTTCACTGCGAATTTCTGAAACTACGCTCTACGGAGTACTCTTCTCAAGTGTGTGCCCCTTGAAGTCACAGGGCTCCACTTGGATTGTACTGATTATGCCTTCCGTTTTTAGCAGGGGGCAGAGGGATCTCCAGTTGTGGCCTCTGCCAACGAAGCTCCACACTGGATGATCAGGAAAACGTACCTGCTTGGTGCACCTGGGCGCATTGTAAGACGCAGCTGGTGGCCACCTTCTTTCCTTTTAGTACAGTGCTAATGCATCTGCAGTCACGCACGGTACGTCGTCATACTGTCGGCTCGTCGCATCGTGGAGTTTGACTTCTGGCCTTTAACTAAAGGCGCACAGACCCCCTCACCTGGTTTTTCAGGATTTGGTTTCGTAGTGGCACCGCTGTCAAGTCAGTACGCATAATCATAAGTGTGTACCATGGCTGGATGCAGTTTGTTCTCAACGTCGGTAGTTTCCGCTGAGGTGATGTCTTCTCCTGACCAGTTGCGGCAAAGAATGGCCTGGGCATTGGCACAGATTTTAGTCGTTGGCCCCAATGGCTTGGGTCACTACGGCCCTCTAAACGAGATTTGGACAAACTACTATGACATTTTGGTGAGGAAGGCCAGTGATCTCACCTGATCGTTTTTGCGGTTTGGCACTCAAGAAACTCAAGACTCACGAGTTTCAAATTACACCAGCACATTGGAAAGGCCTTTGGAAACTACCTGGATCTCTTGAAGGAAGTCACCTTCAGCCCATTGATGGCTGAATACCTCTCCTTTTTGGGAAATTCTGCCTATGATCACGACCAGAACTACCCTGACGAAAATTATGCACGGGAGGCCGGGGAAGGACCTTAAGATCTGTCGAAAGTTTGGTAAACCTTGTGGACATGTCATAGGCACAGACCAAGAAAACACCCCCAGTGCCTGTGACAAACCATCCAACAAAGTGTCCTGTATTTTTTCCCTGCGCTTGCTGTTGGAATGGACGTTTGCTGTGAGTGATGGCTTGATGACTTCAGGTGATGCAGCTCTTCACTATTGGCACCGTAAAATTGAACCTTGATGGTTCAAAAACTTTGGATGGAAATGGAAATCCAATTCCTACTTACAACAACGAGGAGACAAGCATCAGGGCCCACATGACCGGCACGTGCAAATTGGGTAGAGCAAGCAAGGGCAATCTTTGTTTGATTTTGTTTTTGAAATGGTTTTGTTCATTCTCTCGTCCTCTTGACGCTTGGCTTGAATGCGCAGGACATCATGACCTTTGCCCGTGTCTTCACTGGTCTTGACCGCCAATTGCCAAGAGCAAATTTTGAGGAGGTTCGAAGCTGGAACGGACGGTTTCTTGGATTTAGCTGGCATGCCTTTGCTGGGCCAGCACTTCTTCCGGTGCACAGCTGTCATCACCTTCGAATTTTTGTTCAAGAGCCCAAACGGACAGAGGAGATCTCTTGACATATCCAACGCATGATCGCTGAAAGGAGTATATATATATATATATTTATATAACTGCACTAGAAATGATATAGTGAAGTATATAAGGCCCGGACAAGAGCAGTTCTCAAAGTCAGACCGCTTCACCTCTGAGGAATGTGGTAGACTCAATGCAGATGATCGAGCGCTGGCACGATTCGTATCCCAAGCAGGATTTGGACAAGAACTACCTGGGTGACGGTCTGCCCTTGTGCTCTGAGCTTCCGAAAAGATCCTTCTTGATGCAGGGCGCCCGCTACGAGTTCTTGCAAAGCTACAGTGAAAATGCGCTCCAAATTGATTCAACTTCAGCCCTCTACAAAGCTCTTTGTGGCTCCGAGTCAGGAGAGACTTGGGCGAACGCAGATCCCAAACGCTAACCGTGTTTACTTTTGGGACGAGCATGCGCCATGGCAAGATGCCAACCTTCACTGTCATCACATCATTTTGCATCTGAGGTCTGTGCATTCAAGCCTCTCGTGCTTCTTGAGCAGGATTTGGCTTGCTCCGCAAACGAATGCGACAGCACCTGGCCTCATGTCGTGGAGCTGACGGGTCAAGGCGCCCTTTACGAGTATGTTCCCCCGCCATGCATGCACTTCTACTTCGTGGCTCAAAGGCTTGCGGGATCATGGTTCCGGCAGGGGCGCAGCGTATTTGGAACTACTTACCCGCAAGTGAGCAGTGCCTCCCATTTGTCATAGATTGTGGTGCTTTTCATATAGCTTCTAAAATTCCAAAGACCAGAATCGATTCCTGCCTGCCTTTCCAGCATGACACCCTGCACCAGCTTTCCTTCTTCCCCTCCCTTTCTTCCCAGAGAAAAGTGCTCGACGAAAAATCACCGTTCAAACTGACAATTCAAACAATTCCGCCCTTTCTGCAGTGGGCTTGTGTGGCCTTGAAGTGTGTGAATTGTGTCGCAGGATGACAGTGAACATCTCCGTGCACGTCGATGGCAAGGTTGCAAGCCATCACACAGATAAGAGCGCAGTGAACCAGATTACTGTGAATTGGTACAATGGACCTCCTGATGTCAAGAACTGCCCCCATGGTTGCACATCTCTTGCTGAGTCCTGCTGGTGTCCCACACGCACTGAGATTCAAGCCGTGTTTGACCGATTGCCGACCCCCAGTGAACTCAGCGAGCTGAAAGTTGGCGCCTTCAAGCCTCAAAGTTCATGCAGTGTCTGCGGGGAAGTCAATGCATTCTTCGAGGGTGAAAGTTTTGATACCAAAACAATCTTTGAGCATCAGAACAAGTTCTACCGGAACATTCGCAGTGTCGTTTTGGTTGGAGATAAATCTTTCAGAAACCCACCGGTAGTTGGGCCAGATAGTGCTTTCAGTGCGCGATCTGCTATCTTCGAGATCGAGAGTTTGCTGGAGCACTTGGTATATCATCCGAACACAGCTCCTTTCATTTCCTACCGGCTCATCCAACGCTTTGTCACCTCTAGCCCTTCGGCAGAATATGTCCAAGCGGTGGCTACAGCTTTCCGCACAGGACGCTATGGTCGCACATACTCGGGGCAGTATGGTGATTTGGGTGCCACTATAGCCGCAATTTTGCTTCACCCAGAGGCAAGGGAGATGAATGAGGGAGCGTTCCGGGAGCCGCTGATCAAGCTGGTGCATTTCCTCAGGGCAATGGAATTTGAAGACTGGGAGAAGAGAACCTTGCTGTTCGAAGAGGTCATAGAAAAGATTGGCCAGGAACCCTTCGCATCTCCAACTGTCTTCAACTTCTACATGCCTGACTATGAGCTGCCATCAGGGCAGGTGGCACCAGAGTTTCAAATCTTCAATTCAGCCACTGTGGTAGATTTCCTCAACGGCATGTTCTCATTGATTGATCACCAGGGAGTCACAGAATGTAAACATGGCTTGGGAGTCAGGACAGGTTTTCCAACCAACTGCAAACTTCAGGATTCCTTCAAGCTACCACTGTCAGCCTCTACAGCCCTGAGTGAGTTGAATTTGCTGTTGACGGGGGGTCGCATGACAAATCACACCAAAGAAGCTGTCATGCAGCACAGCAAGAACCAGAATGACGACGTCAAGGCAGTTCAGGATTGGATCCGGAAAAGCAATTCTAGTGTTGCAGTTGCCCTAATAGACAATGATGGTTTTACAATGGTTGTTCTGTGCTTTGTCATTATCTTTTTCGTTTCAGGTTGTAAAATTTGTCCTGCTGCTGTGTTTGATACCTTTTTTTTAAACCTTAGCATGGCATGACCGCTTGCACCTGTTGAATTTTCATTGATGAAGCGCTATTGATCCAGACGCCCATAGGGCGTGGACCATTTACTCTTCACTTTGCGTGACAGGTTTGCCATGTTTGCCTTTGCGCAACTTGCTTCTTGTTAGACCCCGCCTTCCACCGCAAGTGGGTGCTCTAGATAGTTGGCGCCGTAGGAGGTTCTCTAGGTCTTTCACCTGTTTTGAGAGCTTTGCTGCTGGAAGTCTTGCTGCCCCACCGCTGATGATGGGCCACTTCTGAGGAGCGCAGGCCGAGGTGTGATTCAAAAGCAAGCTCCACAGCATGGACTCCCCGCGCGCACCCCGACCACAGCACAGGCTATGACTGAGCCACAGCTGCAGGCTTGGCCCTTGTAAGGCAGATTTTGATGCAACTCCTCCACTTGTGGCACCTAGACTTGGAGAACGCCCTCCGGGCTACAAGGCCTTGTTGAAAAGGCAAGCTTTGCTGCGCAAGCCGCAGGTCCATTTCCAGGGTTTTTTAGTTTACTTAATTATGGCACACTGACGATGGAGGGCCTGCTCTCACCACAAGGACTTCGAATGCCAGAAGGTTTGGGCGCAGTCAGGAAGCCGCATCGGCAAGACTATCCAGTCAGAACCCTTCGGCTATGAGGAGTATTTGCCAAGCCGTGACGACACCAATTGCAACAAGCAGAGGAACAAAATCTATGATGATCTCTGGGAGGGCGAGCGGTCGAACTGACAGGGGAGGATGACCAGACAAGAGTCCACACCGGTTGACATGGGTCATTCAGCTTTGCTGCAGCTGTCAGCCAAAAGGCTTCTTGATGCAGGTCTGGATGAACTCGTCTACGGCTACAAGAGTGCCCACGCACGCCCTTTAAACTGCAACAAAAAGAATGTTGGGCTCGTGCTCGGCTCTTGGTGGTTTCGCAACCTCGCTAGCTTGGCGAACTGCCCTCATCAATACGTGCAGCTGCGACGAAAAGTGGGCAAGCGCCAGTGAGCTCATCTTCGAGGGCGCCGTAGCCAGAAGACGGTAATGAAGTGAACTTCATAGCCCCTCACAACGTCGTCACTGAAATTTGGTTTTCGCCTCCGCCTGCCTACAGCACCTATGCTACTACCGCAACAGGGGTGGTGCTCAGGAGGTTCATTTGAGTCTGAGGAATTCATTCAGTATTTCATCAAAACTTTAGGTAGTGGAAGTCTCTGAAAGCACCCGATCTCACAGGGAATATCGTGTGACGGGTGCTGAGCTCAAGCAGAGAGTGATCACGAGTCACGTGTGCGACCGCGGCAAACGCCCCCCCTTGCAAGGCGAATACTCGGATCGTCGTCCGCGCAAATCAAGATCCTGATCCCCGCGCTCTCACGCGAGAAACCCCCACACCGACCAGAGTCAGGGAGATGCTCAGCTGACATACCGACCGACGCTGAAATTTCCTTGGTTAACTTGGAAGCCGAAGCTGAGTGAGAAGATTGGCTACAATGGCGCACTTGTTGACAGGTGGAAGCGTGTGTGGAGGAGCGCGATGGCCGCTTAAGCAGTGTTGGCAGACACACCAGCTGACTAGCGTGTCTTTAATGTGCTTTTGGCGATTGCGGCGCGCTGTGCTGGCCCTCGGCCTCGCTCTGCTGGCGACGGATTGCAAGAGCCTTTGCGTAGAAGACAACAGAAGCCCGGTGAACACACGTTCCACCCAAGAAGCGGTGAACCGGAGCGCCATACACAACTGGGTTCCAACCTGGCGATGGCGGATGCATTGATGCAGATATCAAACGACCCTCGCGACAAGCTTCTCAATTGTTTGAAAAAGCCGACCGCGCAGCTCAGGGGTGGTGGTTCCAAACAAAATACACTGAGTGTGAACTTGGCGTGGTGTGACCGCTTGCACGTGGCACATGTTGAGCCATCAGTGATGAAGGGTTTTTGATCCCCACGCCCATGGCGCCCGCAATATTCACAGTACTTCTCATTTTGCGCAAACGGTTGCCATGTTTTGCATGTGTGCACGGTGTGTTTCTGGTTAGGCCCCACCTTCCACCAAAGTGATTTTCCCTCGCTTCTCTTGAAGGAAGCCTCGGTGCTCGCGCCTGAGTTTCACACGCTGGGTGCGCCAAGACCTTTGGGTATACGAGCTACCGAAAGTGGCGCGGGGCGCAGCCAGGCCTCGCCCAGATCCTACAAGGCTGGATGGAATTGCTTTCTATTTTGCGGGGGCCAGGCTGTGGGGGCCAGCAAGTATGTGATTGTGCTTTAATGGCTGAAACGAAACAAGGAAAATAACTCCGTATCATTGGCCGTGCAAGTTTCAAGCCGCCGGAAGGCTGTCGTGAACTTGTACTTGGACGGCGGGGCTGATTCATTCAATTTGCTGGTTCCTATCAACTGCGCCTTGCGCGACGAATATTTGGCTGTGAGGGGCCCGGCAGCACTTTCCAACAACCAGCTGCTTGAAATCAGTAGCACGCAAGCTTGTCGGAGCTTCGGGCTGCACCACAAGTTTCCCAAGCTGCGTGCGATGTATCAAGCAGGCGAGGCGGTCGCTTTGGATCACACTTTAGCGTTTTCGGCAATTTGATTGATAGGGCGTTTCCCTCCTCAAACTTGAACTCATGTTGCTTTGTTTGCTATGGTTTTGTCTCGGGTGTGTTTTAGCTGTCCAAGGCTTTTGTCAGCAATATTGGGTCATTGGTTGCTCCCCTGACCAAGTACGAATACAAGACCGGGGCAACGCCGACATGCGTGGGCCTTTTTTCCCACTCAGATTCTCAGCTCTCAAACTGAGCGGAGCGAAACCCGTATCTTCTTTCTTCGCGAGGGTGTGCAGAGTTTTCTCTATATAGTGCGAGCTGTTGGGGTTCGAGCTTCAAGTATAGGTAGGAAGCATGGGTGGTGGCGCTGCTGCAGGGTGCCGATGTGAGAGGTGTGGCCGTGTGTTCTTTGGAGCTTGGGTGCTGGCGCTGCTACGCGGGGCTGCTGCGCGCTTTGGTGCTTGGGGCTGGTGCTCCTTCAGATGGCCGCTGCCAGATGTGTGGTGGGCTTTGGAGCTTGCGTGATGGTGCGGCTGCAGGGTGCCGCTGACCGTGCGCTTCATGGCCGTGTGCGTTTTGGAGCCCGCCGCAGGCCGCAGGCTGCCAGCAAGAAGTGCCGCCGCAGGGTGCGGCTGCCAGATGTTGATGGCTTATGGCAGCGCTTTGGAGCCTGCTTGCTGCTGCGGGTTGGTAAATGTATGGCCGTGTTCGCTTTGGAGCGTGGTTGCTGGCGCCGCTGCAGTGTGCCCCTGCTATGGTGCTGTCCACAAGTATCTTAGCTACCTGGGGTCTATGGCGTAGTCTTTTTGGAGGAGGCTCTGTTTAGAAAAGCAAAGCCATTGTGGTCATGCTTCCAGTTGGCAATATCGTTGACATTCTGACGGTGTGTGTCGGGAGTGCTTGCGCTTGTGAATTTGAGCTGAGGACCAGACTGCTGGAGCACAGACACTGAAGTGTCAGGTGCTGGGCGTGTTGTAGAGCTGACAGCACGCACAGCTACCCTGACGACGTGTTAAGTGAGAAACGTGATGTTCGGATATGTTCGGAGCACCTCGGAGTACCTAATGTGCTATTACTATAAGATTGGCGAACGCGCAAGTCTGTGATAGGTGCAGTAGGTACGTGCAAACTTGGATATTTTTTTCGTTGTGATTGGCAATCTCTCTCGGCTGGCGCAGAAAAACAGACAAGATTTGTGTTTTCCGGCTTGGGCTTGGAATGCTCCCAGACACATCGAGCAACAGTTTTCAATGAAGGTTTTACACAGGCAAACCATTGTCAGGTGAGATTTGTACTGATAAGGGGTGGTCAACCTCTCCAAATCCTTTTTCGGTTTCTCCGGGGTGCCGCAACTACGACTCCCTCTAAAGTTCATTTCACGGGCTTTCATTTTGCGTTCGCTTGCTTTCATTTTGTTTTCGTTTTGCGTTCAATAGCTTTCGTTTTGCATTTGTTTGTTTTTATTTTGCTTAGAATCACGTGCTTCCAATCTGCTTTCTTTTGCTTTCACCCTGCTTTCGTTTGCTGTCATTTTGCTGTCATCCTGCTTTTCGGAGGTAGTTTATACCAGGAAGAGGGGTTATAAGCAAGCCGAAACAGGGAGAGGGCTTATAATTGCGAACCTCCTCCCTAGTGTGGATTACCCTTTTCACGCCGGTTGAAGTGAAGCTTTTCATAAGGGCTTTCAATAGAAAACAGAAAACCTATGGTTTTGGAAAGTGAAAGGTTTGTGAATTTTCATTTTGCTTTCATTCTCCCTTCATTTTGAATTCATTTGCTTTCATTTTGTTTTCATTGGCTTTCATTCTGCTTTCATTTGGGCTTCATTTGCTTTCATTTTGTTTTCATTTGCTTTCATGCTTCTTTCCTGTAGTTCTGTCCTTTTTTCAGTTTGTAGATGAGTTTTATATACTGTACAACTCTGGATCCTGAGGTCTTATTCTCGAACCCAAACCCAGAATTTTGGTCGAATGACAAATCAAAGTTGATCTGGATTCTTTGGACGTTTTGAATTTTGATAATTAAGGATGACTTGCTTAAGCGAATGAAGCATTCCTGTGCCTTGGTCACCCCTTTGCGGCTAAGAGCACGGCTTTTGTCATAGTCTTTATCGAAACAGAAACGCATCTGCATACTGTATAGAACTTTGAGCATGTGGCTTTGGAGTTTTGTAACCTTTTGGCTTCTGACCGCTTTTTCTTCTTGCAGGTGGCTGGAGCATCACCTAGAGGAGTCGGGGGTCGCTTAGCTGATGCCTTGGCGGCTGGAGGTCAAAAGTCCCTTGTCGGCATGACATAGACGATGTCCTTGTCTTCACGGCAAAGCACTTGGAAACCATGGCCGGTGAATTGCGTGTGGGGGTTGGAATTGCTTCTTGATGAAACCACGGTGGACCATACGCATGTTTCTTTTCACGGGTCCTGTGTTTGAGTCGAAGGATTGAAGATGGAAGACACGTCCTAGAGTCAGCAAAATCTGTCTTTGGTCGCTCACCAAGTGGACTGCACAAGCAAAGCTCCAAGATCGGGTTGAATGCAGTTTTCTTAAGCCTGATGATTCATGATAGCTGAGGTTTGCAACCAATTCCTTTTCGCTCAAAGGCAAGAAGACGTGGTCAGAAGGTTTCAGCACACTTCAGCAGGCTGTGGATAGTAGTGGGGACTTTCCCACCCTGGAGAACTTTGCAATCCGATGCCCGTCAAGCTCTAGCAAGAATTTATCACCAGATGGAGCGGAAAGGCTTTATGCATCCTTATGCTAGTTGGACATTGATGTTTGACAAAACGCAATCTCCTCTACAGCACTGCTCACGTAACAACCAAGGAAGGCCCCTGATTGAAAACATCACCAAAGAAAAGCACGGCAATGTGTACTCGGAGGAGTATGCCAAGACCTTGGGAAAAATGGTAGACAACGTTGAGTATTTGGCCGGACAGATTCAGAACGTGACCTTGAGCACTACATGGCCAGAGCCGGAAGATTGGGGGCGCAAACGTCTCTTGAAACAGTTCAAGGCCATCTCCAAGTTGGTTGCAAGTCGCACAACCAGGAAGGCGGAACGAGAGTTCTTCTACGTGCAGGTTGGAGGTTTCGACACTCACAACGACATGCACGCGACTTTGGACAAGCTCTTTGCTGTGGTGGATGAGGGACTGGACGTCTTTGTAAAGGAGATGAAAGCACAGGCAGGGCCAGAAATGCTGAACTTCTTATTACGTTACTACTAGGAGGTAAGCGGTTTGCCAGTCCTCTAGTGGGTTTGATTGGTTTCACAGATTCATGTTTGCAGTTGTGAGAATTCGTGTGCGCGCAAGGGCGTTTTTGAGTCTGTGGTGTTGGTGACCACCTCCGACTTTGGGCGCACCATGACCTCGAATGGCAAGGGCACGGACCACGGATGGGCAGGCAACACGTTTGTCTTGGGTGGCAACATACGCGGTGGTGAGATTTACAATGAGTTCCCTTCGTCCCTGGTTGAGGGAAACTTGTACGATGTTGGTAGAGGTCGGATGATTCCAAAGTACCCGTGGGAGAGTGTGATGCTGCCCATTGCAGAGTGGATGGGCATGGATGCACAGGACAAGAGCACCGTTTTCCCCAACCTACAGAACTTCAATTCCTCAAGGCTGCTTCCGACAAGCACGCTTTTCAATATGTAGCCAGTTGTGCGGATTGAGCTCGCTATACGAGTTCAGTCAGCACTGTGTCTTTCTACAGCTGCGAATGCTGTAGAATGTCACCGGTGAAGGACGCTGAAACTTCGATAAGGTGTATGATATGCCATATGCATCAAACAAATTCTGTTACCGACTCAAACACTTGTTCCCTGGTCCCCGGTTCCCTGGTCCTGGTCCTGTGTGGTTGCCTCTGGTTTATTGTTCCCTTGTGCTGTTTCGGTCGGTGTTACTGATGTACACGCGGAGAGGCCCAATACCCTCCCTCCAACCAAATCCGCTCTTTTCAGCCAAGCCCATCAAAGCCAAACAAAAGCCATGGCCAAGGCTTTCAGTTGTGAAGCAGCAAGCTTGCGTGAGTAAGGGTTTTGTGGCCTCAAGAGCAAGTGTCGCCGGTGAGCCTGGGGCCGGGCATGTGGGGGCTGGCCGCTGGCGTTGAGTGTCCTTGCAGTGGCACTCAGCATCGGCATCTGGATTAGTTGAAATCTTAACGTTTGTGGGTATCGTGCTTAGCATTTGCTTCGCTTGCTTGTTTCTGTGGAACGTTCACTCCTTGATTTTTGGAGTTTGCGCAAATTGAGAAGTGTACCAACCAGACCAGGTGCACAGATCAGAAGTGTACCGACTTGTTCAACTTTGGCTCAAGAAATGGCGCTGCGCGACCTGCAAACCGCTGGTTATGAGCCCAAGGCCATAAGACCACCAGCCTGAGGCTGTGCTGGCTGCCATGGCGCCGCCGCGGAGGCGTCGGCGCCCCTTGAGGGAGCGGGTGGGGCCTGCGCATCGAGACGGTGTCGAGGCGGTGGCGCGCCGGTGGAAGAGACCGCGAACGGGCTGATCTTGGAGGAGAAGAGATCCAAGAGGGCGAGCTCAATGCCAGCGGGTGACGGGATTGGGAGTCCGGAGGCTGGCAGTATTTTGTGTCCTTCGAGATTATTGTGGACTTCTTGAAGCCAGGGTCATGCTATCGTGGAGTGCCTGTGCGGCAAGTAGCCAAGGAGCCAAGGTGAGGGCATCCCCAGTCAAGTGGCAGGGGACATGGAGAAGATCAGGGAGAGAGTGCTCCAGGCAGAAGAGACCTTTGCTCGGGAAGTGGCGAGGCTCACTGAGCCGGGATATGCCTTGTCGTTTGCTTCGGCAGCAAGTGCTGGACGTCTTGGAGGAGATGCATGACCCATGAGTTCGAGCCGCGGGAATCTTCCATGGCCGGGGCAGAAAGGCTCTATTTGGTTGATGAGGTGCCCAGCGAGTACCAACGGCTGGAACAACGAGGTGTCCATGCCGCTGGCGGCTTTGCCGTCGGCGAACTCGGAGGAGGAGGTTCCGTGGAGCCCTGGAAGGCGACGTATGGTGAGAGGATGAGATCATCGAGGCCACTGGTGAAAGCATTTCCACCGCGTTGGGCATCAAATTGAAGGGGGAGACCGCAGAGTTTCTCGCCAATGTTGAGGAATGGAAAAGACACCTGTTCGATCACGTTCCCTTTCGGCGGGATTGCAGGACCTGCTGCTTGGAAACTATGGGGATGGCCAGCCCGCGCAGGAGGTCTAACAACGGTTTCTTGGCGTTCCAAAATGGTGTCATGGCGGCGCCGGTTGTGGAGGAGTTGCTGGGAGCCCCGGACGAGCCCTATGACCGAGAGGAGGACATGACATTCAAGGCTGGCGCCTTCCGCGCAGGAGCGGATTGAGAAGAGGCTCAAATCCCACGCTTGCAGAACATCACCCGGACTGACAGAGAGCTGATGGAGTCAAGGTGGTAGATGACATCGTCCAAGATCTCTCTAAGATCCGTGCGAAGTTTTTGGTGATTGGTGCGCGTCCATGTCGACTTCACACCGATCGGGTGCGAGCTTTTCTGACCAAGTCGGTGGCCAAGTGGCTTCAGCAGAGGGAGGTGACTCAGTCGATGACAGCTGGGGACGAGAGCGAGGCAAATGGACGGGAGCTCAATACCAGATCAAGCGTCCGACCCAAAGCCTGTTGAAGAGTGCTGGGTTGGATCAGGCATTTTTTGCCCTGTGCTTTGCGGCGCGTGGCGCACGGCGGAGCAGAGGTTGCAAAACGAACTGCAGCGGCTTGGCGTTCCCGCCACCGCCAGACGGGAAGCTCACGAACAGAAGCCCAGGACTCCACCGCGGCCGCTAATGTGGTGCCATGGGTGTGCGAGCCGAGCACAGATGGCCAGAACAAGGGGCTTCAAATATGTCATGAACGACTTGTATCCAGAACAAGGCAGATACCTTGGTTAGGCGACGGTCCTTTGAGGGATCAACGCCTGACTCCTATAGGGCGAATCCGCAACTGACGTGGCCTCTACCTGCGATCGAAAAACATTGAAATTTGTCTTCTTTAGTTCGAGGGCCCCAGGGACTGTCTCTCTCACGCGTTGGCGTACCCAGTGTGACTGGAACCAGGCAGCGTACGACCTTCGACGCTTCAACGCCAACCCAGAAACAAAAACCGGCCACACCATCTGTCTGGGCAAGCGTCTACTGAATCTTTGCCGGGTTTGGACAGCTAGGCCCGCTCTTTTGGAGACTACGCTAGTGCGATTCATTCGCACGGTGGCTTGACCAAACAAGATTGCTTCTTGTCTCTGTCACGTGACAGCACGGCAATCGTCGATGTGGCGGGATTGCGGGCGGAACGACATACCGTCCGATGGCTGGGCATGTGGGAACCCGGCCGCTGAAAGGCCAGGAGCGAGACCTCCGAGAGAGAGAGAGAGAGAGAGAGAGAGACAGAGAGAGAGGCGAGAGAGAGAGAGAGATAGGATTGCAGCCTGTCAGGGTGACGTCGTCTATATCTGGCCCGATACCGAGAGTGAACGTCGGACGGTGAATTCGAGGTTTCTGACAGCTGAATGGAGCCGGCTTTTGGAGGTGGCCGTAGCACGGCCAGGGAGTGTGGAACATTCACTCCTTGAACCGCGGAGTTTGCGCAAATTTGCGGCACCTACAATCAAAGTATGAAGACCGCCTCAGCGCAAATGCTGAAGTCCAAAGCGCCCCCATGCTGCGACTTCAACATATTCAAGCTCACGTGGACTGCGGCAGGTTTAACAAGGTCGTTTTGCTGATTCCGTTTTCGCCCGTTCAAGTGGACCTGGGGAAAGCGCGGAGGAAACCTGGGTTCGTCGCCCGGCGTAAGTGTCATTGAGGCTTGCAAGAATGAGACGCTCGTTTGGCCTCTCGTGGTTCCTTTACAACCCGGCCACCGTGCGGAGGCGCTAGTTTGCGCATGTGGAAAGTTGCTCGTTTGTACGTGACCCAAATGGAGGATGTTTGACGCCTCTGAGTTGAGGGGCGACCCCCGGGTCCAGACTACAGAACTTGGCATCGCATTCCTCGATGTTCGCAAACACAATGTGGTGGCCAAAAGTAGGTGGAAGCAAACCTAGGAGGATCATGGAACAGTGTTTCTTGTTTTTCAGTTGTAATGTCCTTCCCGGCAATCGTTGTTTTGGATGCAAGTAGTGGGTTCTTCACCTCAACTTTTTGAGACTTTTTGTTGTTTCCTGCCAAGCACCGTTTCTCTTCCCGGAGGCCCGCCAGTTGCCTCCAAACTGAGAGAACAGTCAACAAACCGTGGCAGACTTAACGTGACTTTTGCACCTGGAAATGTTCATTTTTTTGTTCTACTCTTCCTGCAGGTGTTTCTCTCCACATGTTCAAGCTAGCCATTGGGCTCACTTTGGATGGTGGCTGTGCCAAGATGTGCCAAGCAAATATCGGACAATCCGGCGAGGCAATTTGCAATGGCACATGCCACAATTACTAGGGCCATGAAGCCATGAAACCCTATCATGCCCTGACAGGGTGCTGCCGCCAGCAGATGTGCCATGCAAAGCAAGGCGCATCTGCACCTCATGTTTTAGCGGCGTAAAATGGGTCGGGGGTCGGAAGAGCAGGCCCGCAGCGCAGACCTGGGGGTGTTTGCCACAATGCGTTGACCCAAACTTTGCCAACTTCTTGGTTTGGCGCGCCGAAAGCCTCACATGCCCACAGAGCGGCAACATCGTTAATTTTTTTGATGCTACTTTTGTCATCGAACTGATCTCACCAAACTGAATTGCATATTGTGAGCGGCAGGTTTCTCTCATGCTGACAGTTCTTCAGTTGAAATGCGAGACACAAAGGAAGGGTGAACAAGGTCCAATGGTCAAATGAGCAAAGCACGCAGACCAAGAAAAACACAAATATCAAACAGGGAGAGAGGCACAATTCGCCTGATGATCTCGCATTTCGACTGCATGTTTGAACACAGCTGCTTTGGCATCAGTGCGGGGTCCAGAATCATGAGGAAGGTTTGGCAACTTTGGTTTCGTATAGATGTAGCGTAATGATGGTGCCCTCACCTGCATGCGTGTGGACCCCCCATTCTTCTACTATTTGATCAATTATTTTTCGAAGTGAGTGATCCTGCGCGTGTGCTCAACTTTTTGCTCAAGCACTTCACGGATGAACATGGCTGAAA